TATATATATATATATATATATATATATATATATATATATATATATATATATATATATATATATATATATATATATATATATATATATATATATATATATATATATATATTCTCAAATTTATATTCACCATAATAAATCATTTAATTCCCAACCTTAATAACTGCTGCTACTTGGAATCACATAGGCAAGATTAGGTAAATTTTCTTATCTTTTTCTTATACATAAATAAAGTGTTATTTATGATTAGAGTGTTACTTACATATCCTTCGTTCTGTTGAACTCTGTTTATATTTGGAGGTAAATTTCAGCTTAAATTCCTTCCAATATGTGATTATGAGTTGGACATATTGTTTTTTTTTTTTGCAAATTAAAAATAAAAAAATCCAGCAACTCTGTTATTCACTGTCTCATCTTGTGACAGAATCAAGTTCAAACAACTAATTGATAGTGGATAGAGTTAAGTTTGAGTTATTAGTTCCTTAATGATAACAATAGTGCTTATGATTCTTGTTGCTAGATGCATTATTAAGATGTTGACTCATTTTGTACATTAATAGCCTGAAAATTTGAATGCAGAGCATAAGAAGGCCAAAGCTGTTCTGGTTGTCAGTCGGAGCGCCATTGACCTCTGTTATCATTTCCACCCTTGTTGTTTTCCTGCTCAAAGCTCAGAATCATGGAATCAGCATTGTTTGTGCCACCTTTCCTCTCTTTCGTTTCTTTTAACTCTATGATCATGCTAATATTATTTCTTCTATTCTCGTAAAATCTACATGTTGTATGTGCAGATTGGGAAACTGAAATGTGGGTTGAACCGCCCATCATGGGATAATTTACTTTTCGACAGTACCTACTTAGGCACTACCATGAAAACTGGAATTGTCACTGGGATCATCTCCCTTACTGTAAGCTCTCTCTTTCATCTACACAAAAGTTCACAGAGCCAATCAGTGTTATATTATTATATTTTCTTGACATCACCACCAAATGTTCCAGTAGTTGCGTTCAATGTCGAAAATGTTCCTCAGTGTTTAGATGAAAATTATTATGCCTTACACATTTCTAGTCAAGGAATTGCTTGCTAATCTCTTTTTCTTCTTCTTCTTCTTCTTCTCTAGGAAGGAATTGCAAGTGGAAGAACGTTTGCTTCGCTCAGGGGCTACCAAGTTGATGGGAACAAGGAAATGATGGCCATAGGGCTGATGAACATCGTGGGTTCTTGCACCTCATGCTATGTTACTACAGGTAATCTCAAACACTTGCCATCTACCTCGCTGCCTCTTGAGAGATCCCAGTAGCACTTGCAAACGACTTACTCCCAACTCATGAACTCTTTTAGGAGCCTTCTCCCGTTCTGCCGTGAACCACAATGCCGGATGCAAGACTGCAATGTCCAACGTAGTGATGGCTTTGACGGTGATGGTGACGCTCCTCTTCCTCATGCCATTGTTCGCCTACACCCCCAACGTTGTGCTTGCTGCTATCATCATTGCTGCAGTCATTGGCCTCATTGATGTTCCCGCCGCTTACAACATCTGGAAGCTGGATAAGGTTGACTTCCTTGTTTGCATGTCTTCCTTCCTTGGTGTCATCTTCATCTCAGTTCAGGAGGGCCTTGCGATCGCGGTAACGATCAATCATGCCTCAGTCTCCCATCTATCGTCGATGTTCTTCGCTAATATACGTCTGTTTTCCTGTGAATATAGGTTGGTTTATCGATATTTAGAATCCTTCTCCAGACCACAAGACCTAAGATGATTGCTCTAGGGAACATTCCAGGGACAAACATATACAGAGACCTGCATCAGTACAAGGATGCTAAAAGAGTTCCTGGGTTCCTCGTACTTGCTGTTGAAGCCCCCATTAACTTCTCAAACACCACATATCTAAATGAAAGGTTTGCTGCACTAACTCCTAACGATCAATGCTAATCTGTTCAAGAACATAGTCTTCGCCTCATGAGATATCATTCCCTTTGCATTATTCGTAGGATAACAAGGTGGATAGAAAATGAAAACAGCATGGAAGAGAAAGAAACAAATCTTCGATTTCTAATACTGGATTTGTCAGGTACTATTCTATTCTTTTTCTCTACCTCTCGATCCCGAAAACATTTTTTTTATCTTTAGATGAATTTATAGGGATTGTTTTGCCTTTAAAGTTCTGCCAACCATGCAGAAGTATATCAAATAAGATTGTCTTGTATATTAGTTTCATCCTCAAGTAGCGCATGCAACAAAATAGAAGATTTCTTCTGATAGCAAGGCATGCTTTGATCAAAGCAATCGTTTGTGCTTCTTAAGAGAAGGCATACTTGTATACTGACCCTTGAAGATTAAATTTCAGCCGTGCCTACTGTAGACACAAGCGGAATCTCATTTCTAATTGATCTAAAGAAATCGACAGAGAAACATGGTCTTGAGGTAGGCACGAGTACAGGAACTTATCTCTTTTCCCCTTGTAGAACATCAATACTTATGATCTGCTTACAGCTTACCCTTGTAAATCCTACGGGAGAAGTCATGGAGAAACTCCAGCGAGCAAACAAAATCCATGACTTCCTTGGCGTCAATTTCCTCCACTTGACAATCGCAGAGGCTGTGTTTTCACTCTCATCACAGAACAAGCTACAACAGCAGGAGGTCTCATCCTCGTTATTCATCTGAAATGAGTACAGCTTAAACAGCTTAATAATGGACGAAGCTGTAATGTTTGTGTAGTTCATCAATTAAGGATATCAGAGTACATGTATATTATATGTTGCCATTTTGTTGCGACAATATGTTCCTTTTCAGTTTCTTTGTGTCATCTTAGGTTTATGGAAAGTACATTACAAGCTTTGTTTATTATAAAAAGCGAGTGCTTTGTATCACACACAATTCTCAGATCATCATGACATTCCAAAAATACCCCTACTGGGGCCCACAATCTATCTAAAGGGACCCCGCCCTTGGCAAGGAGTGACATCTCACAGCTGTTGCCGACTTGCATTACTTATTTCTCTTCCATCGTTGGCCATGAAATGGTCGTGCCACGCTCGTGTCCAAGGAATGCTGGTTTGCACGACCCACACGGTGGGTTTCCTTATTGTTTCTCATATATATATATATATATATATATATAGAGCGATAGTAGTTAAGTTAGTTATTATATATATTATTAT